TAACAAGTAATAAATAATGACTAATAATAAATAATAACAAAAACAATAATAACAATGATTACAATAATAACGATGATAGTAATAATAATAATCTAAGCAAATTATTTATAATAGGCAGTGGTATAGTAAATTGGAATTTTTTTTGTCTTTGAATATAGTTACAATCAAAATTTATTTTAAGTACATTGAACGATTTGGATTCGGCACTAACAATAACTGTTAATCATCGTACTGTATTGGGTACAACTGATTGTATTGGTGCAATCGAATTACCGTTACATTCATTACTACACGTACGTATGCCAACGTGGTACCGCTTATGTAAGAAAGGTAAATATGACAATAATGGGCAACAAGCGAAATATCGCGGTGAAATATGCCTGAAATTTGAATTTTCTAATAAAATTTGTACGGCAACAAGCAAAAATTTGTCAGCTTCATCACTTTCAATCAGTAATTTGCATGGTTCGTTATTTTTCTATAATTCTTCAATTATTTCTTGTTAAATAATTATCAAACAAATTAAAATCAGGAAAGCAATAATATAAGACGAGTTATAATTTCAAATAATTGATTATGTGAATGAATTTTTCAACAAATTATGCGAAAATTAAGGATACGAAAAATGAATGGTTTTAACAACCCTTTTTTTCTTTGCTTAAAAATTTGGAAAAAAAATGAATTATTCATTGAATAGCTAGTAAATCACATTATTAACTTATAGATAATAAGTTAGAAAATATGATCAAATTTCATTCAAGCTTTACTGAATATTTTTTCTCATAAAGTGATGGGTAATTAAGATTTTAAAATTTAAAATATTGATTATTACTGTTAACATATATCGGATAAACCGTTGCTAGGTTAATTGGTTATATTTGTTGCTATATGGATTATGTTTTGTTTTGATGGCTTTCTGAAAGATGATCTATCCATTCATCCATCAGTTGCTTAAGCTATCATATGGCCACAACTTCATAATTACTAGAGTAGTCAGTTTTTATTTAATTTTATTTTTTCTCCAGGTTCCAATAAACTTGATACATTGAAGCGTAAGATGCGATTCGGAAAAAAACAGAACAGTGATTTGCCGGATACCACTTCGCTAGTAAGCCTTCCACAATATGGTCGACGTCGTTCTTCGCTCTGTGAAGTTTGTCCAACGATTCCGAAATCGGATTGCATTTCAACGACGGATTTAAATCGTGATGGATTAATAACACCGCCAGCTGCCAAAGATGGTACCGCACATTATGCAATACTGTCGTATAATTCAAGAAGTGCCGGTACTCCATTAGGTCTATCATTTTGAAATCCTTCTCACAAATTATATTCGCTGAAAGTCAAAAGGCAAACATTTAGAAATTATTGCAGTTGTTTATGATTATATTACAGTATTTTTAAGCGGACGATTTCAAAGGACACAAATTTTTAATAATTTCCATTTCAAACATTATTAAACATATTATTATTTACCTTTAGTTATTAACAAACCAAATAAATCAGTTCTCATCTTTTCATCACTTCTTACTTATTGATATAAAATCAGCTATTTTCTTTTTCAATTTAAATTTATTTATCATTTGCTTTCTCTTCGCATACAAAAATTTATGATCGACATTATTATTTGGTCCAAATGAAAATATCTAATTTATTTCCAAAATAATAAATAAAATAACAAAAATGAAAGAGAGAGAAAGAATGAGAATTATAAAAAAATGCAATATTTTTGTTACAAAAAGTATAAATGACAAAATCGCCCCTATCCTTAGGATTTTAATTGTTGCAATATATGCAAAAAAAATGAAAGCTGAAAAATTCAATGATATATGATTTTTGCAAATTTCTTTTTCCTTATAATAATTGATAATGAATTATAAAATAAATATAAGAACTTGAAAAGAGAGACAGTTTTTTTTCCCATTTTTGTATTCATACGATACTTTCCTGTGACATAACACTGATTCAGGAATTGATGGTATACTGTTCGGTTCACAACGTACGTCAGTATCATCGAATCGTAATTCTTTTAATTCATCTCCAATACCAACGGCTGGAGATGATGGTTCCGAATCGCCAGCAATAGCTCCACGTCCACATAGTGCTACTTCTTCCGGTTTTGGTTCTGCGCGATCAACTGTTAACAATGGTTCTGATTTAGCTTCGGTATATTTTTTATTATAAATTTCTTTGGAAAAGTTGGAATTACTTGTATTAAATTTTGCATTGCTTTTAAAAAATAATAACAATGGTATTCGAATGATAATATAGTGTTACTAGGACATTCTCAAATACTAAGATAATTTAAATTATCAGAATATTTTATCATATTTGTAAACATTTCTTTTTTTATTTGTTTGGAATAGTTTAGCTGATAAATGTTATCATTTGTTAATCGATTATAAGATTGCCATCAGATCTTTTGTAAGCATTGGATTGTTAACTTTTCAACATTTTCTTTTTTTTTCAAAATTATTCTCAATTAAATTGACCTTTAAAAAAAGTTCATAGATTTGAATAAATTATTTCATTTTAATTTTTAGATTTCATATTGTCCGTCACGTGAAGAATTGTTAAAGAATATCAGTGATTTACGATATGAATTAGCACATAAGGATGCGAAAATTAACGATCTACAGGATTATATTGGAAAATTACTAGCAAGAATTATGGAGAAAACTCCAGAAATGTTGGAAGTCAAACCATCACGTGGTTTTTTCTCAAAACATTAGCAAATGTCTTTCTTTCATCTTTTTTCTTTTTAAACCTCTTTAAATTGTGAATTTAAGTTCTAAAAATTATGCATCATCAATTTATTTGCATAAATTGCTACTAGTAAGTAGAACATTACAGACCATTTCTATGGATATCAAATATTTCGGCATACTTTAGCTACAGTAATGTGATACCGTAATTTATTAGTATCATTGACTCATATTTGTAACAGAATATTATTATAATCGCTTTATATAATACGGTGCCTGAATGAAATTACAATATGGTATCGTATTTTCTTCTGCAATGTCTTATCTTATCATCGCAATAAAGTAAATGAAGTTTTCAATTATTCATAAAATTATATGATGTCGACGTCATTTGCAATAGTAGGAAAGTATAACTTCAGCTGTATTTAAATGCAAAACACAAATCATACTGTAGGATAATATATCTACCGTATTGACATTGCAAACATTTTAAACTGCCAAACTATACAATTTTCGAGAAAAATTCACCATTTAATAGTTGAAATTTCTTCATTATTTTAATCTATTCTCTCAATGTATTGTGTCAATTTCTTTCATTCTTTTTTTATGTTGTATATACACAGGTATTTTTTATATTTAAATAAAAAAAAACGAATTGGTTTTTTCTATCAAGCAGATTTCTAGGTCCTTACTAATTATTAGAATGCATGATATAGTAATAAAGCATATGTAAGATCAAATTCAAATCATATACTTGTTTCATTGTTTTGCTAAGTATCTTTATTTTCAGTACGTGGGTAAGGTTCAGATCATTCTTTTCTACCCAAAAATAGAAACTTAAAAATTGTGGTCAGTGTTATTTCCTTCCTTCATTTTAGTCTTTTGAAGTTATTTGTTTCTATAAATAAATGTATTCTTCAAGAATAGGAAACAAAAAAAATGATTAAAATGTTCGAAAATTCTGGACATTGTTACGGTAGGAGATTAGGTTGTAATAAGAAAATATTGAAAAAAAAGGGGAAAAAAACTCCGCTTTGATCTTTTTATCCTTCTATTCTTGTGAAAAAATTGATTAAATGAAAAATTCTTTTTTTCACTCATCTTAACTTATTACTTGAAATATTTCTCGAACATTTTCCAAATGTAGTTTATCCAGAAGTTCAACGATAAAAACTTTTGTGGTGCTTCATTGTTTTATTATTTGTAGATTGTCTTCATAAAACCGTGTTATTAAAAAATTTTCCAAATTTAAAAGAAAAAAAAACTTAAAAACTTGCATACTTTCGGTGCTTCAAAAACTTTTTCAACTCCATCCGTTCCCGTCGCTTTCAGGCAGAATGTCCGTAAGTAACAGGCCGCCGATGGTTGGTTAAATTGGGTCCGAACTTTTGCCTCGTTCATATTTTTGAATTTGATTGTCGTGTGCGTTGTTTGTGGTTTGGGGATATTTTGTTGTCTTTAGCTGATTTATAAATTAAAATTTGAGATCGATGGCTTTGAAACATAGCATTTAGGTAATTTGAATGTGGAACGAATGAAAGAAAAAAGTTGATCCGAATATCCTCCGGGCATATCAGAAAGGCTTTATCGTGATTGGTTGTTTCATAGTTTCGTGAAAATCTTTTTGAAATGATAAAGGAAAGAGACGTGAAAATCTTCTGAGAGATTCTTTCTGTTATTTAGAAGTATTCCTTAGGATGTGTTTGAGATTTTTATATTTCCAGAAAAAAAAATGAAATTCTCATTTCCACGATAATTTTTAAGACTTGCTTAAGATGATTGAACTTTCCTTTTGAAATATTTGCATATTTTCCCAGGATATTAGAAAGGTTCTTTTTTTTTTTTGGAATCTTCGAGTAATAGCGGTTGCATAGGGCATTACAAAAGTTAACGGATTTAATATTCTATGAGAATACACGAACTTATCACACAATTCTTATCGAAATTTTGCAGATCGAAATTGATGTTATTTGGGATTGTACATTGAATTTCTTCTAAATCTTGCAACAACAGCTATGCAGACTTGTAATTGTATAAGATACGCAGCGATTGATGCTAGTGCCAGTGAAATAGTGGTTGCCTTATCAAACATAAACGAAACTCATCCAAAACGTAAGAGATGTGGTGAAATTAGTTCTGAATATTTCTTTGTTCAGACTTTGAAATATGGGAAGTAATATTCTCAGAATTTTCGGTAGTTCTGTTGCCAGAAATATTTGTTGACTGATGAAAATTACTGTACTTTTTCTTAACTGATTTTTCTAGTATCTTCGCTTACAGAATTTTTTTCTGGAATTTTCTTGACTAGGGAATAAAATCTAAACTTTTCATATCTGAACTTATGGATAATGCGTTTAAGAATTTTACTGTCGAAATTCGTGCGCGACTACAACTATAGTACAAGGAATTAGATTGTTAATTCACTTCTTAGAATAATCATTTGGAAATATACCATCGATTTTTAATCATTTAGTGCGTTGTTGTCTTTTTTAAGTTTTAAAATCGTCTTAAACATACATAATTGTATTCACGATTCGCGGTAAGTGATGATATCTTCCATTATAATTCTTTACTTATGTGACATGCCTTATTTATTTTGTGATTACCAAAAATTAGCATAATTTGTCCTGTGATACTTTAAGAGTATCATTTTTTATTCTGTGATATCTTAGGAGTCCACCACTTCTTCAGTGATATAGGAATACCAATTTTTACAACAAATGTCTTTAGATAATATAATGTTATCATTTAATTATATCCAGGAAAAATAAAGGTATGATCTTATTAAAATTCAAAAATTATGTGAACTTGTGGGGTGTTAATGATAACTTATTTAGATAATACACCAGTAGGTGATTTGATTCGAGCGGTTTCAGTAAAACACGCCAATCAAACAATCTTCAAACATCCAGCAATGCTATTGCTTGTTCATGAATCACACTGTGAGTATTTTATACTTTCAAGATCTGAATTGTTCTTTCTTTAACGCTAATTACTTTTTTTGATACAGTGATATTTTTCTTATTTTCAGCCATTTTCTCTCGTGTGCAACATAATGCAAAACTTGCCACACTCACCGTGTCTGAGTAAGTTATATTTCTTGATTTTTACTTTTTCAAGAAAGTTGAGGCCCAAGCTCAAGTCCTGAGGGAAGGGTCTGGGTCTTACCTAATCACTTCTAAAAACAGTCATACTCCCATGAAACATTTGCTTGTATATGTTTTTCTGAATGAGGGAGAAGGAAGAGGGAATAGAAAAGAAAGGAAACGTGGTGGAGTTTATGAGTTAATTAAATAACTGAACAGTTTAAAAAATTATTAGTTACTTAGTCATAAACTAAATGTTAAGTGATTTTGGAGTTGTTAAAAAAGAGGCTCTGACGTTGTCTTCATTCCAGTACTACTCTCTCTTCATTCATGGTGTATTGACATTTTATTTTTTCTGAAAATTTTCATGAATTAAAGTGATCCAAATTCTAGCGTTCTGTCGTACAGTTTACAGTATCGTTCCATTATTCGATCAACACTTTCAACAATTTCTGTATCAGAATTTGAAATTAAAGAATTACTTACCACAGCAGAGCTTATTTGGTCGCTTGTTGAAGCTATTTTCATTAAAACTCATGGTATTTTTTGAAGCTTCTTAAAGAAAAAAAGTTAAAGTTATCTGTTTTACTCATAGTAATGAGAAATATCTTGAGTTAAATATAATATAAAAATGGAAGTTCTTAAATATAATATAAAAATTAAATATAATATAAAAATGGATAAATCTTAGAATGGCTTTTATCTCTCTTCGCCTTCTTTGCTTGGGGAGATAGTTTGAGAAATTTGAGGAAAACATTTATTCTTTAATCTAATGTGGTTTTTCTTAAGATTCATCTGTTGTTGTTGACCTAATGACTTGGGCGCGTTTCTGCTTGGCACATACTCCATACGTTGATGAAATTTCAAACTTACTTCGTGGCAGCAAAATAAAAAGGCTCAACAAAGAACATTTTTGGCATCAGGTAAAATTTTGATATTTATTGCAAGCTTACGATGCTACTTTATTAACTGATATTTGATTTAAAATGATAGAGGGAACTAATTTTTCCTTAAAATCTTGAGTAGAATGATGGAAAACAACTTTTAATCGTTCGGTTGTGAGCTAGATCTTCAGTATTAGTTTAATTCATAGATTGGTTCATGGAATGATTTGAATAATTAATTCCTGCACGACGCTGATTTGAATAATTAATCGTGGGATATTCCACCATTGCTTACTTTAATTTTCAGATTATCTATTTTATCCTAAGTGGTATGTTCAACAATGCAGTTACTTTTCTGGAAACATACGGTAATTTGTGTGATGATGATGCTGTGCGATGCTTGGCCAAAGTAGTTTCCGAAATAAAAATGGATTTATTAAGTGATGAAAATACTGTCTCGGATTTTATCAGTGCGCAGGAGGTAAGTGTATTTGGAATGGAAATCTCTTTCTTTTAAATCGATTTATATAAAGGAAAGGATCTTTAAGTTAAGTGAATGACAATATTGGGAGCAGGTGATGAACATTATATTGACCGAAAAATTTCTTTTTCTTCTGAAACACTGGAAAATTCTTGGAAACCAGTATGATTTTTTGCTTTCAGGAAGTACGTAACATGTGTACAAGCGGACTTTTTCGAACTAATGCTGAAGCTGAGAAGGTGGCGATGATTATTGCCGGTGACATTTCCACCATAACATCAGTTTCAGTTCAGCTGGACAATTGGTTTGAATTGGTACCACCGTATTTATTATTCGTTCAACCAGGTGCTACTCTTCCTCAACTTAGAGATGTTGTTAAGGTACATGAAACACGAATACTTATCAAATTTCGTAGTTATTAATATTATCTTTTCTCTCGGAATATTGTTTGGTTAATTATTAGTATATGCATGTATGGTGTGCACACGTTTAAAAATCGGCAAACAAAATGTAAATGATTAAATACCTTTATTACTGGTTCTATTAAAGACATATAGGATTAGAAGATTACTTTTGTGGATTTTTTGAAAAAAGCGAGATATTTTAAAAGTTCATGTCCTGTTGAGATAGCTGTTTTTTTCGTTCGAAATTTGTAACTCTTTGCAGGATTGTTTAAAAATTTTCGGCGTAAGTAAATGTAATGGAATTGATGCTGTAATGTGTGAGCTCTTTTCATTAGAAGCACTGCGGGCTCTTCATCGAATTTCAACATCAAGTACCAACTGGTGGTTTCCAGCTCATCTAGCAGATTTATTACAAAAAGCTGATGAACGGATAACAAGTGCTTTTGGTACGGATATACGTCAATACCTGATTATCGAATATGGATCGTCACTCTTCAGTGAACCTGGGTATGAATTATTTCTTCCATTACAGTTTATGAAAAAAATTTGCATGAAGATTAAAGATCGAATTTAGGATAGGAATTAAGATTTCCGCAACATTTGAATCATTCAATTTCACATGCATTAACAACTTTAGGATCCTAACAAAAGTTGCAATCCTTTTATCATTTACAATCTTACCTTTTATCCATTTTCTGTTTTAATTATTTACAGTTACAATCTTTTAAGTCATCGAGCAACATATAGTATATCTCTTGACTGCGTAGATTTATAGTTCGCATTCTATTGTTTTTCCAGAAGGAAAAAAGAGACTGTTTAATGATCAAGATTGCTTTACAAATAATTGTAGATTGTGGCAAGTGGGATTTGATTATCTTCGTGAAACTGGTGATGAAGGATTGGCTCATTTAGAGTTATTAATAGGACAAGTACCTGTGGACAACGAAACTGTTGCTACGAAGTTATGCTCATTATGTGATGAAGTAGGTTTTGATCAAACACGAAAGGATATTACGCGAACTACGGCCTACAGGTAAAAGTTTACAACACAAGAATGTAAAAATTTATAGTATAAATTTTGCTTCACTTAATCACTTTTCATCCATCATTTTTTGTACTAAATGTCATTATTTGATTAGTTCTCACACGTGAGGTAATTTTTTCGCTGCCTATTTTTAGGCTGTTGCGTGCAAGGAAATGGGGCAGCGCTCTGTCGTGGGCCATAAGGTCACGTGATATCGAAATTGTTTCTACCATTGCTGATTATGTGGTCATGCAATGTGCACCTGATCAATTTTCGTCCATTACCGTTGTTGAGCATTTCACAGAAGTGATGTTACTTTCTTCATCATTTGCATTCTTGCATCGGTATTATAAATTTCGAAAACTGTTAGAGTCAGACCAGAAAATCAAAGCTGCCGAACTGCTGGTTTGTTATTATGTTTTAATATTTGTCTTATTAAGAACATAGATTTTTGTTTTTAGTAGGGGAGTATTTGCACGGTAATGATGGTGCTGGCTTTGTTGTATTCTCTTACTTTGAGTTCTACGGGAATTGGTTATTGAACTGATGTTTTATACTCTTGTTCATGTGTAATAAATAGTAAGAAAATGTTTTGTTTAATATTTTAATTTAATTTAATGTGCTTATAGGTAGAACTGATTGTTTCAAATTTAGTTCCAAGGAAGTTTGATATTATACTTGTATCCGATTTGATTTCTATTCTCGGTTACGATGATGAGGTATTTTTTCACTTATTCTATGAATTTTACCTTACAAAATTTTGTATATCTTTCTGTTAAATCCAAAATATACATAAGTGTTACAAATAAAATAGATATGAATAATAAGTACTTGGATGTGAAATTTGAATATTTTGGCATCTTTTTGGACTTTTTTAAAACCTATAAATGAATCACGATTCACCATCAAATGAGATTATTATTTAATCATAATTATTCCAAATATAATAACTTCACAAAGCTCACAAACAAGGATTATTATGATTTATAATATAAATATGTTATGATGATTGAGATTTCCACTTCCAGTTATTGGTTTTACAACTTTTATACATAAATTGTCGGTTTGTAAGATTTCTTCTTTTTGGACATATTCATAATTGATAATGATAAACATAAGCGTAACCATAAATTTTGTAATTACTTGTTGATTTTTGCGTTATGTCGTGGTCATATGTTTGTCGCAAACAATGAATTATTTAATCAGCTTATGATAATTCTCCATAATGAGTTATTTAATAATATCACGGAGAAAAATTATAATAACCTTAAATTATTTCAGGTTCTTTTAAGTAAAGATGGTACTGAGCAGCTGTTAGAACATTTAATACACTATGAAGCAGACGGTCCGTTTGATCATAATTTTGATATGTGGAAAATGCGTTTACGTACAGCACGTTACTTGTTGTTACAAAATTTGGCTCGTACTATCACTTCCTCTTCATGATTCATTTCTGATCATTTTTCATACCCATTTTCTTTTGTTGTTTTCTTGATCTCGTTCAAATTGATGTTTGAATATTTTAAGTGTAGATACGCATAACTTTTTACCAGTTTAATTTCTCTCACACTCTAGCGCAGTTAGTTTGATAGTGTTATTCTGTCTGAAACCATATAGGAAGGGTGTAAATTCCTCAAATGAAAATCATATTTGAATGCCAATGGAAGACCAAATCAATGATTTGGTCAAACTACAATATGTATAGTTTGGAGAAATTAACAAACTTATTTCAAAATAGACCACATCAAATTCGTCGAATTTGCCATTTCAGTGGGAACATTTATTGTAAGCGATATATTTTAATCAACTAAATATTCGTTATTTGGTTACATCTGGCAAGTTACACTTCATTACTGAGAACATTGAAATGGATATGAAAACATTAAAATAGAAAGATGAATAACTTTCTTTCTTATAAATTTGCGTGAACGTGCGCTTATTGTTGTTATGAACATTTCTAAATTTTTCTTTGGAATAAATTTTTTTAATTATATTTATTGAACAAACATACTACAATAATGTAATGATGAGTGGGTTTTTGTTATCTGTAGGATTGAAAAGCTTGAAACTTAGTACAATCTCGCTATTGTCAATGGAATAAAACCTTTTGAGCAAGAATTATTCCGAAATGAGCTTTCTCAATAATTATCTAATCTTAGATTTTTTCTTTCTTAGAAGTTATTTCTATTTTTTAATTGCGCTGATCTGGTGCGAAGTATCTAAACGATAATAAAATACAGTACAGTGACAAAGAAAAAGAAAAAGATGCGATAAATTTATTAATCTTTCAGCCAACAAAATGTTTCAAAACTCTCTTTTAGAGAAAAATTGTTCCTAAAAGAGTTTTTTTTAATTAGTGTAAATTTAAAAAATCTGGAAAGTTGTTTGCTCCATTTTTTCTTCAGATTTTTATGAATCGTGAAGAATAACAGGTTGACGATAAAATGATTCACTGTAGGCGATAAGTAAATTTTGATTTAGCAATTATTTAAATCATTAAACAATAATTCGTTCCTATCGTGTCTGTCGGAATTCTTTCTTTTTTTTTAATCTTTTTTTTTTAATCCAGAAAGTTTAATATATACATTTTACTGCTTGTGTCATAAACTATACTTGAATAGTTGAGTAATTTGGTGACATCTTTTTATTAGCTTTCACTAAATTTATTCAAATTAGCCACTTCCTCTCTCTCTTTCCCTGCTTTATCACTAGTTTGAAAGTAATTGTACAAAGGAAATAAAATTTTTCTGTCTGAAATATATTTGAAAAATAACCCAAGAAATAACTTTAATTTCCTTTTTCAGAACCGTTAAATCTAAATTTTAAAATTTTCATCTTTTGTTTTGAATTTTCGATTATGAAACAGAAGCAAAATCAAAAACAATTTTGGTCCTTTCTTTTAACTTAAATTTAATTGAACGAAGTTATCATTCTCCGTGCTCTCCTCCCCTCATCGGAATTGCTCTCTGAAATTCCGATCATGTCGTAAGCGCATGGTGAAAATCAGTTAAATTTTTTTTTTTTTTTTTAAACATCAAACTGCAATTTTTTCTCTTCTTTTTCAAAATGAACATAAAAGATACAAACTAAAAAGTGATTTATAATCACTCATTAAATTTCAACCTCAATCAAATTCAAATTACACATCATAAGAGATACAAAAGATAACAATATCAAGGGATGGTATTCGAAGTTTCATAGTGACGAACTCATTGGTGTCCTAAGCGATTTCAGCAGTAATCTAATCCAATAATGATTTTGCAGTTTTTTCTCGCAGAAGTTTAGCATTGGATTCCATAATTTCCTGATTCTCTGCAATATATAATGTCATTAGTCCGGCCAATTTCTGCACTCTCTTTATTTCCTGTTTTTTTTTTATTATCTTACATAATTACAGAGCATAAATATTCTCCACTATTTTATCATTCTCCAGTATATGTTTCATACATCCCTTCATTTTTTTTCATATCTCTTGATTTACAGGAATTTTTTTGGATGATGTGCCTGTTTCCCCAATTTTTGTTCTTTTTCGCTGTCATTATATTTCTTATCAATTCTAAATTTTTTTTTTTGCAGTACTTATAGGAAAATTTGACTGAATAAAAAGCACCATTCATTCTGTCACTACCGGTTATTCTGATCACTTATTTTCCAGATTGCATTCTGCGCAGTCCACTGCATTAGCTTCATTCAAATCCGCACATTCTTTAATTTATCTCCCTGCTTCTAAAACTGTTTTTTAAAAATATGTGGAGATTTCATTCAACGATGTATGATGTTTCAAAAATCGTTCTTGGTCTGCAAACTGGTACTTTGAATTTATTGTAATGTATTATCTATTCAGGTTAATTGTTGATTTCCGGTATTATGATGCAACGTGACAGCATATTACCTGGCTCGTCGCAACAGCGATCAGTTTCTCTGGTGACACCAGCAACAATAACTGGAAACACTCGATTGGATCCTTTATCATTGGGTGTCGTTGGTATGGATAATCGACAAGCTGTTATAATCGATGTTGGTACTATTCTAACAAAGTTTGTTCTGTTTTCGTATATTTTTTATCATAAAATATTTGAATTTGTTACAATTTTGCATCATTTCGTTGTTTTCTCATAAATTTACCAAGTTTTAACAAAATTATTGTATGAAAATAATTTGTGGCAAGTCAATAGATTTACTTCAGGGTTGGTTATGCGGGTGAATTCGTTCCACGTGCAATAATACGAACAGAATTGTTGGATGATCGCACTGGTGAAACGGTAAAAGTACTGGATGATACACTTAGTGAGCAGGAATTTTATTATAGATTGGTGAAATTTTTCCGGGAGTTGTTTTTCAGGTAATTTTCAGGTATCATGAATTTAAATGTTTAATGTGATATTTCCTTCCACCTTACACATTTAAATTCATATTTTGCCTCTACGTTATTATGAATTATAAATATCCTCCGATACACATGGAATATCCTTTTGTCCAAAGTTAGACAATAACAACTTGCCTGTTATTGTTACCTAGTTTCATACTACTACTGTTTGTTTGAATTGTTCTGATATAATGTCTTCACCTATGATATACGTCTTCAGGAATTCCATGCGCTTGATCTTGAATTCATCTTTGGTCATTTATAGCTTTCATTTTGAAAAATTTTAAGGCTTTAGGATTTATTTAAGAAGTTAGAACTTGTCACGGTATACTTTTTAGATATTTGTTAACAGTTGCCAAAGATCGTCGAATTGTAATCGTCGAAAGTATTTTGGCACCGACATCACATCGAAATGCCATGGCACGGGTGCTGTTTAATGTCTTCGATGCTCCATCAATACTTTTTGCTCCGTCACATCTGATGGCATCGTTCCCATTTGGTGTCTCGAATGCCCTTGTTATTGATATTGGATATTCGGAAGCAACCGTTGTTCCGGTAAGAGTACCTCAGGATTTAATTTCGGAAAAATATGATTTAAAATAAAACATTCGAAAAAATGCATACCTTTATTTGCTCACAGTTTTTTCACAAGTTTATATTAAATTAGATTTTGAATAAGGGATAAATATTCTTGAAGATTGAAGATTCAAGAATTCCTATTTAATCATATAATTTTGAATCTTCCAAGAAATAATCAAAGTCTCAGTGCTCTTTTGCCTTACTTTATAGGTTTCAAATAAAGTTCAATCTTTTACTCAGTTTACAGATTCTAGAAGGTATCACTATGGTGTATCAGTTGGAAACTTCATGTATTGGTGCTAAATATTTGGAAAAGCGTGTTTACGAACTGCTGCGAAAGTAGATTTTATCTTTGTTAATTGTTGTTTGGTTTTGTTTAATTAAAAAAAAAAATTATGATATACGTTTTAAAATACTAGAAATTTTTTCTCCCAATTGAAAACCATAACGACGAATAAAATCATTGAGATCTAAGCCATTTTTTTTTTTAGTTCAGTATGTTTTGTCATTGGAATATATCACGAAATTGTTGTTTCTCTTTCTACTCAGATGTAGAAAAACACAGTAAACAACTTGAAATGATCAAAATTATGCATTATTGTAGCTGCATATTTCTCTGTAGTATTTTCTAGGTACGGCAAAGTGCTAACGTCTTCGGGTGAAGAACGGTCATTGAATGATGGCGATAATTTGCTTTTGAAAAGCGAGCAAATTTTAGAAGATATTGTCGTTAGGTTTTGTTTTGCTACTAAAATGGATCGTGGGAAAATGATACAAGCATCGGGTAAATTACAATGTGCTTTAAAGTGCCGAAGCTTAATAAGCGATTTTTTTTGTTATTGGTTATTTGTGAAGTTTTCAGAAGAAAAAAAAAAAACTGGCAAAAAACAAACAAAAAATGAAACCCGAACAGAAGGAAATGTCAATTTAAATTACAGAATATGATGCAGAACGAGAAATTCCAAAAGCACCGTGTGATGTCCGCCTACCGTTTGGTGAAGAAATCCTTGTTGTACCAGGTCTAGTAAGGTAAGATTTAAGATTCAGAATTGGTTCTGGTTCACATAAAAGTCCGACGTTTTTAAATTTATCGTTACATTTATTAATTAATCCAGGGAATGGACGGCGGAGGCAATTTTCGAAGAAAGTGATGACATCAAATCTTTGCCACGATTAGTACTTGATGCCGTATATCGGGTGAATACTTTGTTTTTGTAATTTATTATCTAATTTAGCAGTTTATTTGCGTTTTAAAATAAGAAATTTAGCTCATTGGCTGATAGGTCTATTTCCATCCTCTTGTTTATACAATTAATAGTGATAGCAGTAGGTTTTTCATGGGAAGATCTCCTCAGCACATTGTCAACAGAAAGCCTACAGCATAGGAGATATGCTTCCCAATATATAAATTATTTCTCAGTGGGAGAACTACGCAATTTTTCTTTGTCTGCTGAAATTCGAAGTTCTGCTTATGATCAAATATTTAGTGTCCAATTGATGC